AATAGAATAGAATAGAATAGAATAGAATAGAATAGAATAGAATAGAAAGTAACAGGTTCCCTGGAGTTACAGGTGTTTGTGATCCACCTGATGTGGGTGTTAGGAACCAAACTTGAGTCCTCTGGAAGATCAGCAAGTGCTCTTAACTGCTGAGCCATCTCTCCAACAACCACCACCCATACTACTTAATGCTTCTGACAGAAAGTTCAAAAAGTTGGAAATGTGCCAATGTTTCTTTTTCGATTTAAGAGGTCAAAGTTCAGATTAAGTGTATAAGAAAGTGACACTGAGGGGCAAGAATGCCCAATGGATAATAGTGCTTGCTGCCAAGCCTAGTGGTCTGAGTTTGATTGGTGGAAATCCCTGGAATCCATGTGTTAGAAGGGGAGAACAAACTCCAGTGGATTGTCTTCTGATCTACACACACACACACCATGGCACACCCTCCCCTCAACACACACAACCATGGCGCGCGCATGCGCACACCCGCACACACACACACACACACACATATAGATAGGTAAATATATGTAATATTTGTATTTAAAAAGTAGTATTGTAGAGAATGAATAGAATGCTTCAACTGATTGTTAATCAGACACATATTACCTGTCACACAGAGGGTGATTCATAAATATTTTGTAGTGAGTTCATCTAGAGCTCTGTTGGATGCCAAAGAATAGAATCAATTTGTTTCAGCAGTTGGAAATTTCTCTAGAGAAAACAGATTTACATTTTTGTCTCACTGCATTGTGTAGGAGTAAGTGCAGCTAAAATATAAGCGTCCACAGTGGTCTGCAGCTCTATTGTGATAAACCCTATTTAAAGGATAAAATGTAGAACAAAGTTGAATATTAAAGCACAAAGTTAATAATGCACACTGTCAGCATAAATAGTCCCACATCAGCCCAACACAGGACGGCAAACTGTAAAATACTGTATGCTAGCAGGAAAACTATATTAAAATGGAGATCATCAACGTCCCTCCATGCTTTGCCACTGCGTGAAGCCTCATGTGTTTATGTATTTTGTGCATTTGTATTGGCATCATGACTGGTTTTCTGGACCCTGAGGAAAACCTTTACAAGTAAAAGCAATAGTAATGCCTCAATAAAACTGTCCACTTCAGAAGTTTACTTCTTGCTTAATTGCTTTTCCCAATGGGCTCTAACATACTTTAAAAATTTTTAAAGATTTTTTAATTATTTATTATGTATACAATGTTTTGTCGGCATATACACCTGTATGCCAGAAGAGAGCACTAGATCTCATTAGAGATGGCTGTGAGCCACCGTGTGGTTTCTGGGAATTGAACTAAGGACCTCTGGAAGAGCAACCAGTGCTCTTAATCTCTGAGCCATCTCTCCAACCCCTACTTTAAATTTCTTGCAGATTAATTGTTCTTAGTTTTTATTTATGTTTTTGAAATGTTTCTTTCTTATGTATCTCGGGGTTTTTGAGACAGCCTCTATTTATGTTGCTGAGGATCTTAAATTCACCATCCTCAGGCCTCTGGCTCCTCTTCCTAGTGCTCAGATTACAGACTTGCGCTATCACGTGTCAGTTTTATTGCTGTTTTAAATTTATATCCTTCTATCTTTCCGATATGTCACATGCACTGTAATTGCCACCATGATGTAGTTTTTCATAAACATGCTTACAGGAAGACCATTTTGTTCAGGCCTGAACCTGAGAACCTAGAACACTGGAAAAAGTAAAGGCTAAGACCCAGAAGGAGGAAGGAATCCCTCCTGACCAGCAAAGGCTGAGCTTTGCTGGTGAGCAGCAGGAAGAAACTCCTTGTCTGACTTTAGAGCTGAGAAGAGGAGGAAGCTCACTCCACTCCCAAGAAGACAGAACTGGAGAGAAAGAAGGTAAAGCTAGCAGTGCTGGAGAACCACACGGTGGATGGGAATGGGCGAGTGAGAGGCCTTCACCTGGAGCCGCGGTTCTCAACCTGTGGGTCATGTATCAGATATCCTGTATGTCAGATGTTTGCAATTCATCACAGCAGCAAAATGACAGTTATGAAGTATCAATGAAATAATTTTGTGGTTGGGGTCATCGCAACACGAGGGACTGTAATAAAGTGTCACAGCATTAGGAAAATTGAGAACCTCTGATCTAGAATGTCGTCACATGAATGTGATGCTGGAGTTTTCAAGCCAATCACTTTGGCAAACATTTTTGTGGCAAGCGTTGTCTGACTTACTGTTTCAATAAACAAGACAAGTAATTGTGTGTGAATTAAAAGATAGAAAGTTAATGCGCAGGTATGCATGTGTAATTTTAAGGAAAGGGCCTATGGAGCCTTAACACTTTCTGCTAAATTGTTGGCAAATAACAGATCTGGGAGAAGGGAGCACTGTGACCAACTGGAGTCACTGGTAATCCCACCAGCCTTCAGTGGATAGTTCCATGGCACAGAGGAAGCCTACGAAAGAGGCTTGTGGGGGGGAAGTGGAGCTGGCAGAGATCAGGGGGAGGTAAGAAAGGGAGGAGAGAGTAGCCAGGGTGCATTAGATGCATTTTGTGTGAAATCATAAAGGAGGAAGACTTAGAGCAAGGCAATGACTAGAATTCGGAGCAATACTTTAAAGCAGTACTGATTCTGTAGAAGTTTATCTGACCTATCTAGTATTCGTTCTTGATGTGTAATGGATGCCTCAAAACACCTGTTGGGGTGAACGTATGTATGTATATATCTGGAGAGAGAGAGAGAGAGAGATTTGAAGGGAGCTGGAGCAATAACTCACTCAGTAAAGTCTTGCAGCACAGGCATAATGACCTGACTAGATCCATAGAACCACATAAAATGCCATGCATGCTGGCCCCAGGTTGTAAGCCGATTGCTGGGGGGTGGGAGGGGGTGACAGACAGAGCCTTGGTTGTTAGGAATCACTTTATTTGGTATGCAATATACATTGAGTAACTGCTGTGCCCATGTACTGGAACAGTCTTGCCATCCTCATGGCACTGGCCTAAAAAGGGATGTAAACAAACAAACAAAACAGAGTAATGTTGCATACCTCACAGAAGCAGGACGCTGTCGTAACAAAAATCTAAAATGTGCGCCACCGATTTCAGGACTGCATGGCAGATGGAAAGGACATTTTCAGTAGAGGCTCCAAAAATAGCAAGGAAACTACTGCAAAGGGCTGAGGGAATAGCAAGAAAATTGCTAAAGGAGCTTAAAAACACAATGACTCACGAGGCAATAAAAGTGCCACTTGATGCACTTTTGGATTTGAGCAAAGAGATTTCAAGCAGACGAGTAAGAGGGCTTAGAATACAATACGATGATTCAAAAGAAGAGATTAATTCAGGAAATAAGTGGCCAATTTGAAAACAGAGATTTTATAGAGGGGTTAGAATTTCCCTAGTCTGTTGAGAGGGAATGAGGGAGGAAGCTACAGCTGGGATACAAAGTAAATAAACTGTAGTTAATATAAAAAAATAAAAATTTAATTTAAAAATAAAAAATAAAAAAAGAATTTCCTTGTCTGGAAAAGAAACTCCTTCTTGTTTCCAAATTCTCAGGCAAAAAAGAAAAATTCTCAAATTTAAGAAAGGACATCAAAGGGTTGCAGAGATATTCATTTGGTTAGAGCACTCCCTGCACAGGCTGGAGGGTCAGACCCCAAGCACTAATTCCAGAACTCTAGAGGTGGAGGAGGAGGATCCCTGGGACAAGCTTGCTGGTTAGACTGAGTCATCAACTCTGGCGCAGGCACAAACTCTGCCTCCGTAAATAAAGTGCACAGAGGTCAAGCAGACGCCTGAAATCTACCTCTTGCTCCCAAATGCATTTACATACATACAAATATGCATAAATATATATATGCAACATGCACACATATGCATGTACACCACAGGAGCTCCACAAGGAGAGCAACAGAAACAAAAAATCTGGATACAGGGGACTTTTCTGAGACTCATACTCCAACCAAGGTCCATGCATGGAGATAACGTAGAACCCCTGCTCAGATGGAGCCCATGGCAGCTCAGTGTCCAAGTGGGAATCCTAGTAATGGGATCAGGAGCTGTCTCTGACATGAACTCAGTGGCTGGCTCTTTGATCACCCACCACTGAGGGGGGAGCAGCCTTATCAGGCCATAGAGGAAGATAATGCAGCCAATCCTGATGAGACCTGATAGGCTAGGGTCAGATGGAAGGGGAGAAGGACCTCCCCTATCATTGGACTGGGGGAGGAGCATAGGAGGAGAAGAGGGAAGAAGGGTGCAGCTGGGAGGGGGCGAGGGAGGGGCTACAGCTGGAATACAAAGTGAATAAATTGGAATTAATAAAACAATTTTTAAAAGAACCAAAAAACAATAAAAATAAAAATAAAAACTCACTGCTGGTACAAGAGCAGTGAATAAAAACCCTGTCCCAGGTTTACATTGCTTGTGTCCATTTGTCTTCATCTCCCACTGTTCACCGTCAGGTTTCCAGGACCCAGCTGAATGGGTTGAGAAACCAAGCCACAGGTTTTGAACAGGCTCATAGTGACAGCCATGAATTCGTTCCAGGAGGAAGCCTCAATTCCATTCAGAAACCAGTTGGCTACTCCCATCCCAGTCGTTCTGCTGCTGTTGGAAGGTTCATAATAAAGCACGAGAGTCCAGCCTGGGTAAAATAGCGGTGTCTGATTTTCAAGAAAACACAATTTGGGATGTGTCCTCTCTGATATTGATATTTTCCTCACATTTTCAATGGATACCTCTTAGGGAAAAGCTGAACCGTACCACTGTGGAAATTGACTCAACTATCAATTCTAGAAGTTAATACAACTCTCTCTCTCTCTCATTTTCACCTGGTCTTTGCACTATCTCTCAACATCTATTTTAAAGAGTGCCTTTAAGTCTTGGCTTTTGACTAAATATGCATTGGCAAACATTCTTTATACTGATAGTAGTTTCACTGTTACCTATTTGATCCCCCAGCTTTTTTCATACCACCCAGTAGTGGAGTGTTACCCATAGGAAACTTAACATAGGACCTTGAGCAGGTTAGGCAAATACTCCACCACTGAGCTGCATCTCCAGTCCAAAGTTTTGTTTTAATAAGTACAGCACATTTGGGGTTAAAGAGATGGCTGAGCAGGTAAGAGCACTAGCTGTTCTTCCACAGGACCAGGGTGAGAACTAGCTGCTCTTCCACAGGGCCAGGGTTAGATTCCCAGTACCACATGGTGGTTCACAATCTTCTGTAATTCAGGCTCAGGGGATCAGATGCCTTCTTCTGACCTGTGGACACAAGGCACACAGGGGTGCATATGACATACATGCAGATAAAACTCACACATCACACACATAAATTAATTAATTAAAATAAAGTACAGTTGTGCATTAAACAAGTTGGTGAATTTTAGGAAGGGGAGGTAAAAAGCGGACCTATAAAAAGTAAATCAAGCTAGCTCACAGACATTATCTGGGAATAAAGGATATTACTTCTAATTACATGCTTGAGAAGCAGAAGAGGAGGGAAGAAGTTATTAGCAAATTTCAGTGTTGTTCCTCATAAGAGACATGAAAAATTACTCAGGGTCTGACATAATAGCATCAGTATATAAACAGCCAAACATATCTCATCAGTGAAATAAAACTCAGAGGGAACAAATAAAGGGAATATTTCTGTAAGATATGCATGCACATATATATCAATATGTAAATATGGCAGAACTAAGGGGGGAAACAGTGTGGGCATGATTTTATTTCACGTTATTAAAGAATGCTTAGTACTAATGAAGTCTGAAATGAGAAGAACTTCTGAATGGATGAGACTGAACAGGAAGATGTCACCACACTACAGCACATTTATCAGAAGGGTCCCAGGCTCCAATGTCTTCAGAAGCTCAGAGAAGCTGGCTGCTACGAGTATGAAGGCATCACACGTATCTATGTGTACAATTATTAAAACTCCGTATTTTTACCTCACCTGTCCTAGGGCGTCAGTCAGGGGCCTGATAGGTGATCTAGGCTGAATGCTGCTCAGCTCTAGCCATTTTTTGGCACTGGAGAACGTAGGTCCACTGTTTCTAGATCTTTCCCTTTTTTGTTTGTTTTGGGGATTTTGTCTTGTTTTCGCTTTTGTTGATTCTTTGTGAATTTCACATTATGCACCCTAATCCCAACTCCTTTCTCAGTCCTTCCATATCCACCCTCCACCCTTGTAACCGTCCCCCAAAAAGAAAATTAAAGTCTCAATGTGGAAGCTGCAAGCTGCAGTGTCACTGTTTGTCATACATTATACATAGAATATACGCCCTTGTCCACATAGCTTTACTTGCAAATGTTCGTTGCGATGGTCAGGTTCGAGGCCTCTGGCTTCTGCTATCAATACTGGGACTCCTCTCAGTTGTGTGTGTCATGGAGCTGCTGCAGCTTTGGATCTGCAGGACCAGCCACTTCACGCGCTGCAGCAGCTCATAGGTGTGGGGGATGTTGGGATGGGCCATCGGAGAGCCCTGCTCGGAAAGGTCCCAACTACTAAAGTTACCTTGTTCTTGCTGCCTTTGAGAGCAGGCAAGCCGCACAATCTCAGTCCCTTTTGACCGTGACATTCCATAATCAAAAGAACTCTAGGTTTGCCGGGAGTGCAGCTGCATGCTTCCACACAGCACCTGATGGGTCAGAGGTTTGGGGGCAAAGGCAAAATGACCTGGACCAAGAGGTCCCCGCTCTTCTCTTCTGACCTGGAGGCCCTGCTTTCAAAAGTCTCCACAAAACACTAGACTAAGCCAGCTCCTAGTTCCAGATCCCGAAGTGACCCCTGGACCTAAGACCTACCTCCAGAGTCCAGAACTCACCAGATAAGGCTATAACCCAGTATCTCACCATCACATCACAACTTCACCCCCACTCCCCTTTAAGAAGCCCCTACCCAAGCCCAAACTTGTAACTTCACTGACCTCATCCTGTGAGCTCAGTGAATCAGAGAGATGCCCTCAATAAACCTGTTTTTTTAGTATAATTTGGCTCAGTTCAATTTATTATGTTTCTGGAGAAGCCATTCAGCATGAAGTGCAGATTCTACAGAGAGACATTTCTTCAAGGTTCAGACAGTTTCAAAACAATTTTTCAGCCTCTATCTATTGACCCAAATATGGCAAGGCTTTGCTGAAACATTTCAAAGGCAGACCACAAAGGCTTTACTATCTATTTTCCTTAAAGCTAGACATAAAGGCTTTACTATACATTTCACTACATACAACTTTACATATTTATGTAAAATCAAGAAACCATGTTTGCTACACATACACTATACAGTTTCGGAGGCATGCTAGTGGTCTGAGCTACTTTCCAGTCTATGTTGGCTTCCTGTTGCGGTTTGTTTTAATTATCTGCTTTACATAGTCTGCAATCACCTGGGAGAAGGGACTCTGAGATTGCCTATAGGGATTTTCTTAATTACATTAAGTGATGATGGATTGTCTTAGTTAGGTTTTCATAGCTGTAAAGAGCCACCATGACCATGGCAACTCTTATAAAGGACATTTAATTGGGACTGGCTTAAAGTTTCAAAGGTTTAGTCCATTATCGTCACGGCGGGGAGCACAGCAGCATACAGGAAGACATGATGCTAGAGAAGGAGCTGAGATTTCTACATCTTGATCCACAGGCAGCGGAACCACTGTGCTCCACACTGAGCAAAGCTTGAGCATAGGAAACCTCAAAGCCCACCTCCACAATGACACACTTCCTTCCACAAGGCCACACCTACTCCAACAAGGCCACATCTCCTAATGGTGACATTCCCCATGGGCCAAGCATTCAAACACGTGACTCTATGAGGGCTCTACCTGGTCAAACCACCACATGGATCCACCGCTGTGGGTGGCTCCACCGCCTGGGCTTGGAGTCCTAGACTGAATAAAAAGATGTTGAGCACTGGCGTGCTCTCACTGCATTCTGCTCTTGTCTGTGGATGCAATGTGCCCAGTTCTCTCAATTTCCTGCCCTGTGATTTCCCTTCTTACCAACATGAACTCTTTCTCCATTAATTTGCTTCTGTCAGAATAATTTATCACAGAAACTGCAGAGCTACTCAAACACCTGTGGACAGACTGAAAATGAAATGGGTGGGCAGGCTCCAGAAGTACACAAGAGCAGACGGCCTACGTTTTAGCAAGGGTTCCTGCTTTTTAGTTTACAGGACTGGAGCTATGGGCTGCATTCCTGTTAAACTCTATTATGTGCTTCCTTACAAATCTGTTGTCCCTCAGTGGGTGATCTAACACCTGCTCACTCTCCTTTTTCCACGGGTTCACCCCTAAGTCAGACCTCTAAATACAGCCGGTCAGTGGAAATCAGCCCAGGCCAAACTGCATGAGCTCTCCTGGACTGGTATTATAGACCAGGCTGTCCTTGAACTCACAGAGCTCCTCCTGCCTCTGCCTCCTGAGTGCTGGGATTAAAGCTGTGCACCACCACGCCCTGCCACAGTGTTTTGTTTGTTTTTTTAATTTTCCCTTATCCTTATTTTGATGTTTTTTTTTTTCCTCTCAGAATCTTCCCACCTTATTTCATGTTCATTCTCTCAACAGAACAAGGAAAAAATGAAAACCCAAACAAACAACCCAGTAAGACAAAAATGCTAAAAAAAACACATAAAATTAAAAAAAAAAGTCCACGAAGAACCAACCAACCAACCGAGAAATGCATGAGGTTTATTTTGTTGGCCAACCTCTCTGAGCACACAGCCTGCCCTGGAGTTTGGTTGTTATACTTGATGTCACACTGCTCTTAACTGGGCCCACTGGATGACCATGGGCCCAGCCACTGTCTCATTTCCACTGCTGCACCTACCCATTCCTGTGGTGCCATTACTTACAGCGTCAGTGTACCAGGTATCTGAAGAAAACACCTTTTAGTACCTTCACTCATCTGGCTCTCAGTTGAGTTCATGGAGATGCTTGAGAAACTGTGGACCCAGCACAGCACGCATGTCAGATGACAGGTCATCACTGTACCCATGCAGGCCATTCCCAAGAACTTCACAGCTCTGCGCCTGGATTTTTCACCATGGACAGAATGAAGTCCCCATCTTTTCTTAAGGGGCATTTATGTGTCTTTTGTATGTTTTCTTAAGCTTGTATAACATTTGGTGGGTGTGTCACTGTAGTATTTTCAAGGAGGGTGAGCAAAGTAACCAAGGTCCTAGGTCTGCATCCTTGACAAACATCTTCGTGATGCAGGTGCTTGCATAGGGTTTGCAGAATTTCAAGCTTTCTAATTTAATGCTCATTAAGCATCTTTCAGATGTGTGCTCCTCCAAGTGTTGACACACTCTCAGTGTAATGTGTTACACAAGTGCTAGGTATTTTAGAATAACCAAACAAAAGAGAAAAATGAAGTAGATAAATCCAAAGTATCTTGGATTTTTAAAATCGATTTTAAATTCATACATGAGGTGCATATCAAGTAGCTAACCCTGGTAGTTCAAAGAACCTTTCTCGTATTTGCCCTTTCCCTTGACTAAGCCCTCTAGGATGCCTCTAGCTCTCACTAGTCTCCTTTGCTCTCATTACCCTCCACATGCACTTTCACTGCCGTGCAAGGAAAATTACTTGTCCTTTAATATTTCTTTTTTCACACTATGGGACTTTTATATTTAGGTAAGTCAAAATAGTATTTATCATTATTCAGAAGCCTCTGGTGGTACAGGGTCCATCCTTTGTTCTTTCAGAGGTCATCATTCGAGCACTAAAGACAGAAGAGCTTGAAAAAATGCTAAGCAATGATTTATAACCAAATCTGAATATAGTAAGATATTTCTAGGCAGATCCTACTAGCTTCCACCCAGTTATATGGCTCTAGGTCCAACTGCTAGAAGCTGGGAAATACAATCTCCCAAGAGGTCTAATGGAAGCCATGCATGAGGCAACTTTTTCTCTTATTTCTAAGGGCATTTTCCTGGATTGAAATTTCTATATAGTGAGGCCTGTTTTGCAAACAAGGTATGATAGGGGATGGAGCAATGGCTCAGCAGTTAAGAGCACTTGCTGCTTTGGCAGAGGATCCAGGTTTGCTCCACACCTACAGTGGCTCACATCCATTCCTAACTCCTGTTCTAGGGCATCTGATCCCCTTTTCTGGATCAGAAGGTTCTGGTTGACTTTCCACCAATGGGAGGTATTTGTGGAGAATTGGAAAGGATGAAGCAAGCAACCTTTAGCTCACCACATTTGGTTGGTAGGTGTCTTAGTTACTGTTTTATTGCTCTGAAAATACCTGATGGTCAAGGCAATTCTTACAAAAGAAAGCATTTAATAGAGGGCCTGCTAGTTGGGAAAGTGGTGGTACATGTCGATATCCCAGCACTTGAGAGGCAGAAGCAGGTGGATCTACAAGTTCAAGGCCAGCCTGATCTATAGAGTGGGTTTCAGGACAGCCAAGGCTACACAAAGAAACCCTGCCTCAAAAACAAACAAAACGAAAAACACGGCTTGCTTAGTTTCAGAGAGTAAGTCATGCTCACTATGGCAAAAAACAAGGCAATAAGCAGGCAGGCAGACACTGGGCCCGGCATGGGCTTTTCAAACCTCAAAGCCCACGCCCAGGGACACCTCCTCCAACAAGATCATGCTTCCTAATTCAACAGTTCCAATAACTGGGGACCAAGTATTCACACATGAGCCTACAGGGACAGTTCTCACTCCGAACACCACAGCACAGCAGACACAGAAGAAGGCAGAAGTGTGTAAAAATACTACTGCGGATGCTCTGGTTTGCGCTGCACATAGATTACTGGTGATGAATTTTCTACAGCTAGCAGCAGCACAAACAGCTGAATGCTAATACAGGAAGGACTGGCTTACCCTAACCTGAGTACAAATGTCTGAGAAGGAAGTTGCACTCTTCTCATTAATTCTTTCAAGAAGTTCCTTTCATTATTTCAAATTCAGTAAAACTGCTTTAATCCATTAGCTTCATATAAGTTCCAGACAAGATATTATTTATAAAGTTAGATCTATTATCAGGAAGATTTGAAATTTTTAAAACTGTGTTGTACTTAATAGTATCATTTACTCATCTGTTTTCGAAAAGTAGTTACACATAATCTACACACATTAGTATTCAACAGTCACTTTTAGCTCATTGACAAGGCTAAACACTGATGACCACTAAAATGATTCATGATCATCTGGCTTTTTAAGTTATTTTTTAAAATTGGAGGTGAAATATAATTAATTATTTTATTTTACATGCAATTGGTGTTTGACTCGCATATATGTCTGTATGAGGGCGTCGAATCCCCTGGAACTGGAGTGACAGACAGTTGTGAGCTGCCATGTGGATGCTGGGAATTGAACCTTGGTCCTCTGGAAGAGCAGCCAGTGCTCTTAACCTCTGAGAGATCTCTCAAGACAGAGGAGCACAATTTTTATAAATATCCTTTGATCCATACAGCTCTCTTTCGGAAGGCAGAGTCCATTACGGTAGAATCAGAAACCAGTTCTCACACAGTCTCGATTACAGCAGCAATTTCCTTGAACTGTCTGTAGAAATTCTGGAGAGAAAGGGGAAATATTAATTTTGCTTTTCAAGGCTATTTACATAGTTCTTTTATTATTTCTAACCACCAGATACATGCTGTCTGAATTTTAAAATTATATTCTTGGTGAAAATCATTGAAAGCAAACATTCGTAGGCAAGAGGGCTCAGAATACATAGCGAATGTCAGACAACTGCCAGGATGACCTCATCTAACAAACACGAAGAAACGGCACCTGAAGAAAACATTACATATGTATCTACTCCTGCAGGTGTCTCAGTGTTCACGGGGCAGTCTCAGAAGGAAGACCACGCACAGCAACGTGCAAATCCTTGACAGGTATGCACAGTAGTTGCATGTAACATCTACATATATGTGCTCACTATTTGACATATTGTAGGCATAAGCATATCCATGATGGAATCTCTCACCTATGAAAGAAGAAATCCTGACATTTCTAATCCAGATGAATCCAGAGGAAACTATGTTAAAGACAAGCCACACACAGCACCACAGACACTATAAGATCTTACTTCTATTAAGGACGCTGAGGTCACAGATAGAGAATACTGAAGGTGGTTGGTGGGCGCTGGGGTGGGGAAAGAGTGAAGATGTTGACTAAGGGAGCTAACTGAGCTATAAAAGTTCTGAGGATCTGATGCACAGAACGCTGAGTATAGTAAATAACAGCGCATTGTGAGAGGTTGGGAGCGTAGAATTTTAAGTGCTCTCAGCGCAAACATTCACACACACTGCATGGTAATACACGTGATAATTATCTTCATGGACACAATCACTGCACAACACATATTTTTACCAAATCAGTGTACACATTGAGAACATACAATTTTTTTATTTATCAATTATTCTACAACGATGCTTCAGGAAGAAGGTGATCTACTTACTAATAAAGAAAAACATGTAGAGGTGGAATGAGAAAGCAGAGTTCTGCTCAGGGGAAGGCAGGACCTGCACATGTGAATGCCTGAAATGCCCGAGGCTGAGCTGCTCTTTCGGTCGGTGACTACATACTAGATTGCCTTTTCCCACACCCCATTTCTTCAAACACATATCAACATTAGTAGGAACAAATGTGTGCAGTCTTGTCTATCAAGAGCCCTTTAACATACAATTTATAAAGAGGAAATCAAAGGTCAGACAGTGGTATGGGAAAAATGTTTCCAGAAGCCCAGGATGGGGAGGGAAAGCCTTGGCTTAGAGTCAGAGCACCTACCTAGCATGAGCGAGGCCCTAGGTGTGATCCCTACCACATATGCAAATAAAAAGGAAAGCTCAGGGCTGGAGAGATGGCTCCACAGTCGTGAGCACTACCTGCTCTCCCAGAATTCCAGCGGCACTCACATGACCGCTTACAACTGTCTGAAACTCTCAGTACCATGTGATCTGATACTCTGTCCTGGTCTCACTGGGTACTTCATGCACATTGTGCACAGACATACAAGCAGACAAAATACCCATATACTTAAAATAAAGCAAATAAAAGATTCCAGATTCCAGAACCAGTGCATTTTTATTCTAAAAAAAAAAAAAAAAAAAAAATCTTTTAATTTCCATTTCCTTCAGTATGGCTGCTTTTCTAGAGTGTTCAACTTTCCTTTGAGAACTGCTGCTGCTAATGCGGGCTTACAGCAAACCAAACCAAAACTATACACAACAGATTAGCTAATTATAGTATCAGCTAACAGTAAATATCTTTCATCATATACATTCAAGAGTAAATTAGACTTAGTGTTCACTCCTGTTTTCTTCCTTGGGAAAAAAGTGAGTAAATTGATAATATAAATAGCCTAAGTTTAAGCATAAACTACTGAGTTACTTAAATCTCTAGCTAATAAGACTGGCCAATAAGTATTTGATCTGAACTGCATTTTCTAGTCATTAGTCTAAAAACTCAATGTCATTCAATGAAAAGATTAGTTTTGCTTAAAAAACCTGAGGAAAAAAAAATAATAAAGTTAACTACAAAGTAAATATCCTGCAGAGAAGATGAAATATTCCTAAATACATCCATCAAAAGCTGTTACAGTAATTAAATGGCACCATACAACAACTTGGCACATTTTACTGAAAAAAACAAAACAAAAAAAAAAAAAACCTAAACTCCCAGAGAAAATAACTTTAGACTGTGTTTTAGTATGAACCACTACATGTAAGGTACATCAACTTGCAGGTAAATAAAATTTCCCTTAAGAAAGACAATATACAGCTTTTGAAACAGCATCGATACTTAAATTTGTGAGTTAAACTACAAACCTGAAACTGCGGAATTGTCATTTCGATGGTCTTGCTGTTTACTTGGCCAGAATGATCTGCCACTTTTAGCATCACTGCCACGTAAGGATACTTGAGGGATCTGCAGCTGTCTGAGCTCACAGCCATGCCCAGTTTCCACTGAAAATCTATAAGCTTTAACACAGCGGCACAAAGATCACGTGAGAAACACCACTGCCTTGAACAAATACTTCATTTCTCTGTGCTCAGTCTTGAATTTGTTTCAATATTGGTCAGTCTAAGAAAATAGCTTCATTTATGTTGACAGGCAAAACAAATGGTCAAATGGCAATGGAGAAAACAAAAGTGCATAAGGATAGTCAGAGAACAAGTGGAGAAAAGGAAGAAGGCACACAAAAAAATCCCCAAGTTTCTACCAGATGTTTAACAGAAGTAAAAACTGCAGCAAAGTGGCTTTTTGTTACAGGCTTAACTTCTGCTCAGGCACATGGAAGTCAAAGGACAACTTGAGTTAAGTTTCTTTTCTGCCTCACCACGTGTGCCCAGATGAACTAAGTCATTACACTTGGCAGCAAGCACGTTTACCCAATGAGCCACCTCACTGGCACCCCAAGTGCTTTGGAGCATTTTTCACATTCCTTCCTGTCATGAAACAAAAGATGGGTGACATGGTCCTTATACCCGCCTGAGGCACGTGTGGAAACCCTCCTATTGTTTCTTCACTACAGTGCTAAGGTCAAACCTACTATTACAGTGAGTGGTGATGATGATGTGGCTTTAGATTTCATCAGTCCTCACAACACGCCAGGTGACGCACTATGCAGAGTGCCCACGTGGCCGTGCCCCACTGATTCGCCTCGGCGTTACAGGTTATTATTTCCATTCTGCACGTGACAAAACCCAGTTTCAGAGAGGTGACATAATGGGCTCAAGGTCCCACAGGAACAGAAAACCCTGTCTGACCCTAAACATCTAGTTCCTCATGCTGATTCTTCACTGTTGAAAGGGTATCAAAGAGAACTGGATAAATGCACTTCATACTGACCCTAAAACATTGGTGGAAAAATTTTTCCGCCTTACTTCCCAAGATGACATGATGCCTGACACTCAAAATACCCTTCCTGACTGGCTGCTTGCTCCCTTCTGCAGAGAAATTAATGTATGCCTTGGAATACCAGTCCTCGGACAGACACAAGAGGAGGTGCTGACTGTGCAGTTTCTAACCATCAGGAACAAGTAATAACTTCCAAGGTCCCTGCATGCTGAACTAGAAATCACAAGTCCGTTGCTTTTCACAATGAAAAAAATGGTTTTGTTTACTTGTAGTTCCTTGGGCACATGGAGGTCACAAGACAACCTGAATTAAGTTTGTTTTCTGCCTCACCACGTGTTCCTGGGATGGACTCAAGTTTACTTATCACGCTTGGCAGCAAGCACGTTGACCCAAGGAGCCACCTCACTGGCTCTGTAATTTTCCTCAGAAAGGTGTGAAACAGCTTATTACCAAGTGTGTGTCGATGTCCCGTGTCACCCTCCATCCACCCCAGCTTGTGGTTTTGGAGATAAGAGTTTTCTACAAAGCCCAGAATGGCCTCACAATTGTGGTGACCTTCCTATTTCAGCCACCTAGGTGCTGGAATTATAGGCACACACACCTAGGCTGGTAGATTTATTTGCAATAAATTAAGTTATGCAACATGTTTAAGATTGTATTTTCAGCTGTGTCAGAACTATGCAAAAAAAAAACAAAATTCAAAACTGAATCATATTTTTAAACTCACTATTAATTCTAATAGTCTTGTAAATTACCTTGGCTTTCCTTGTGTATATAATCATATGACCAATCAAAAGGTGAATGGTTATAGGGAAGGGATTATAGCACACTTGTCACTCGGATACGTCCATGGCCTAATCACACAGGCTTTCTCATGTGAGAAAGCAGATATTAAAGACTTAACAAAGTTAAGACCTCAAGCTGTATTTTCCTGGATGTGATCCCAATGTAATCACAGTCTTTGTAGAAGGAAGGCGAGAGAGTAAATGTCAGAAGAGGAAGCAGGGATTGGAACAATGCACAGGCCACAAACTAGAGAGGAAACCAGCTCAGAACACAGAAAAGGACAAACAAGAGACCTCTCCCTGAAGCCACAGCAAAACCCTCCTTCCCCTTGGCCCTGTAAAACTGATTTTATACTTCTGACTTCCAGAACTCTAAGGGATGGACTCGTATTGATTTAAGGTGGAAGTTTCCTAAAATAAACAAACAAACACTTTATAGCCCAGTACAGTTTGGTTTCAGAGCATCTTTAATAGAACATATAAAGCGAATGGACAAAATAACTGGAGATTGAACGGTAATAATAAACTCAGCTCAGGTTGGAGAGACGGCTTGGTGGTTAAAAGCACTCATTTCTCTTCCTCAGGACCTCGGTTCAGTTTCCAGTACCCACATGGCAGCTCATAACCCCATCTATAACTCCAATTCTGATCTCCAGAAGCCCATAAAATGTTATACAGACACATAAAAATAAATCTTAAAACAAAAACAACAAAATTTGTCTAACTCATAGACTGTTCAGCAAAACCATGCAGGTTTTGGTGTCACATAATGGCCTCTCAGGAATCTTCCAAAGCAAAAGCAAGATAAGCCAGACAGGTCTAGGTTCTAAATCCAGCTACTTGGGATGCAGGGGCTAAAGGA